GCTACCTTTATGCCTCATGACTGTGACTTCCTAACCCAGTGCATCTGCACATCTTGTTATCTCACACCTGTGTATCAAGGATATTGCCTTTACCCAAAGAGTTCATCTACCTGTGTATCAGGGCTCTTGGGGTGTCCACAGCTCCACAGTCAGGCCATCACCCCCAGCGGGGTCTGCCTCAGCCCCAGACAAGGTCCACAGACTAACCTTCCACCCATTTCATGCTCTGTGTAGCCACTGGAGGGCAGCTGTAGCTTTCTGATGGTGCCAGGGTCTCTTCTGGCTCAGAAAAGCTGAGAGATGTAGGTAGCTACGAAGTACATACATAGTACATAGATAGTCAGAAGTCAAGTAGAAGACAAGGTAGATTTGCACCTTTAGACTAACCACAGTGTGGGGCTGTGCAGGTGTGTGTGTAGCTATATAGCAGGGGTGTAGGATAAAAGATATCGCATTCACCCAAGGAACCTTGTCTGCCTGGATATATAGCACAAACTTTCAAGAGCTGCAGCTCGCTTCATCAGATGTTGTGAAAGATGTAGGCAGGCAAGGTTCTTTGAATAGAGGTGATATCTTTTATTAAAACAACTGAGTAGTTGGAAAAAAAAGTTCTTAGCAAGCTTTCAGGCACAATCACCCTTCTTCAGGCATAGGAAGACAGGTGATTGTGCCCAAAAGCGTGCCAAGAACTTTTCTCCAACTATTCAGTTGGTTTAATAAAAGAGATCGCCTCTACTCAAAGAACCTTGCACCTGCCTGTCTTTAGACCAACATGGCTACAGCCAAAAACCCAGTGAAAGAGATAGATAGATAGATAGATAGATAGATAGATAGATAGATACTTGGGCTAGTCTATAAGGTTCATACTTGCTGCCCTACATTGCCTGAACAGTTGTGTGTCATGCCTATAACTCATGTGCACATGTGTGTAAGGTGTTTAAGACCCAGCTAGACAAAGCCTTGGCTGGGATGATGTAGTTGGGTCTGGTCCTGCTTGAAGCAGGGGGTCGGACTAGATGTGACCTCCTGAGGTCCCTTCCAACCCTCATTTTCTACGATTGCATGTGCCCAGGTTGGGTAGCTGCGACACCACCACTCTTGGCATCAGGAGCACATATAACTGTTACACATGGCTGTGTCAGGGAACGTGGTTTTCGCCTGAACTTGGACTCATGAAAGCCCCGGGATTTTTGCCCATGGGAACTGTGTGTGCAGGAAGCCCAGCAGGAAGTGAGCCTATGTCTTGATGCAATCACAGACTGCCCCTCCAGCTGTCCACCCTCCCTTCTCTGGCCGTCTGTCTGCCTGTTGCAAATGCTAAAGTACTCAGAGGCTGAATTTAGCTTCTGGCAGCAATCTTCCCAGCTTCCAGACCTCTCTCTCTCTCTCGCTTGGGTCCATTCCAGGTAGCTCCATGCAAGTGACTGGAGCCCCTGGCTCTACCCTCCAAGGTGTATTCTCCACCCCTTATTATGCCTCACCTCCGTCTTGTTGCCTCCACATGGAAACAACCTCGGTCCTCACAGCTGAGCTGTGCTTGGGGCTGCTGGGTCCTGGATCAGACACCCCCCCCTCTCCCCCCCCCCCCCCCGCCCCCTCCCAGCCGTTGGTGTTGAGATGATAAACTGATGCTGGCTTCAGACCTGGGTCTCGGAGCAGGGGAAGTGCTGCACCCGGTTCCTGCCCAAGCAGCTGTTTGTCTGCGGTCTGCAGAGCAGGAGTCTGTGTCTGGGCTGGCTGCAAACTTCCTGCCAGGAGCGATGGATCATAGGTCGGGGTTATGGGGTTAACAGGCGAACCATCGTGCCTTCATTGACCCTAGCACATGTGTGTGAGTGTGACTAAAGTGCACAAGGTTTAGAGTGGGGGCTCCTTGGGCAGGGGCCACATCTTGCTTTGGTTTTGGGAGAGGCCATACTAGTGCTAGCAGCACATCAAGGTGAGGGGAGGTTGCGCTCTTCCTCCCCACAAGGTGCCATGAAGGAGCTGGGCTGTGGTGTAGTGCAGCCACCAAGTGAGAGCTTGGCTCACAGCCTTCTCGCCGCAGCATCCCGTCTGGCTAGGAGCCAGCTACATGCTGGTTGAGGCTGGGGGGACCATTTGGGCAGGGAGAGAGAAAGTGGGGCTGCCCGGCCTGCAGTGCCCGGGAGCTGGGGCAGGAAAGGGGCCCTGTTGTCAGTGCTGGGGCAGGGCTGCTGGGCTCCTCTCTTCCTCCCCACACCACTAACTCAGCAGCTTTGCCCTGCTCCTGGCCTCATCCCCATCAGTTCTGCTGCATCGGGAGTGTGCGTGTGCACGTACACGGGGGGAATTACAGCCCGTGTGTGCACGTACTACGGGGGGAATTACAGCCCTATCACACCAAAGCCACGCACAGCTCATGGCAGTGATTCTTCCCTGCGAAGCCCCATCTGCAATGATGTCCTGAGCATCAGGGAAGCCACTAGTTCTAAAGCAGTGGCCGCATCCTGCCTAGCCAGCTCTGCGCCCTCGCCTCCGGGCTCTCCTGGCTGTCCGAGGCGGGCAGGGCTGTGCTGTGCACTGGGACCCCCTGGCAGCTGGAGCAAACCTGCCCAACCACGGTGGGCACAGATTGGAGCAGCTCTGGGGTTGCTCTAGGTTGTGCTGCAGCGCAGCCTGGCACTGGCAAGCTCCCAGCTTGCTCTGGGCCTTGACGGCTCCCCTACCCTATCTCCTGAGCCGCTGGGAGATGGCCGGCTCTGCGCCAGTCCTTCTGCCAATTGCATCGGTCTCACGTGCCAGGAAAGTGTGAAGCACTGCAGTTCTGAGGACCACGGCAGCGGCTTGCATGGGTGCCAGTGCTACCCCCAGGCATTCACAGAGGAACCCGTCCGGCCACGGAGCTGTCTCATGGGGGGAATCTCTGTGGCCAGCTGGAGACAATGGACTTGAATGGCTTTGGGGGATGAATTTCTAGGCTGGGCAAGTTAACCCTCTATCCCAACCCCCAACTTGGGCTGGGTCTCATTCCTTGTGGATGGTGCTGTGCAGGTGGGTGCTAGGGAGGGGGTGGCAAGGGCAGGAGCTTGATGGGACATCCCAACCCATCTGCCCCCTGGATCCGTGGGGTCTGATGCACAACCCCTGCAGCACTGAGATTGCCCATTTGCAGGAACTGCCTGCAGCTCTGCCCCGTCTCTGTGCAGACTGCAAGGATGCAGGTTCCCTCTAGGCCTTCTCGGGAAGGCCAGTCTTTGCCCCTCAGCACCTTCTGCTGCTTCAGCCCTTTTGCGGTGCAGTGGGTTTCCCCATCAGCTGGCAACTGAAATCAGCAGCTTTCACTTCCTCTCTTGCAAACAAAATGCAGGAGGGGGAAACCCGTGCCACAAGCCCCATCCTGGGAGCCTGACCACCACTGGTCCCTGATCACAGGAGTGCTCCCACAGAAGCACTGTGCACCAGCATTATTTCCCAAGCACATGTGATGGTCACAAGGCTTCACTGAGAGCCCAAGGATGCGTCTTGAGGCTTCAGAAGATGCCACAGAAAGGGACTGGATTAATTAGTCAGCTGGGAGTGGGTTAATTCTCTTATGTGACTTTCCAGAGCAGCAAACAGCAGAGCAGGAAACAGCTGGCATCTCCCCCTCCAGGCTTCCTTCTCCAAAACAAAACATGCCACGACCAAGCTCTGTGCTCCTTTCTTTCCACCCAAACACGCTCCTTCTTTCTGGTTAAGGGCACTCCCCTGTTTCCAGCCATTGGTCTCGCAGCCCTCCGCTGAGCAGGGCAACAAGAATGGGGCAGGAATCCTCCTCCCTGGAAGATGGCATCAAACTGGAGTGAAATCCTTTTCTAAGTGCTGCAAAATGTATCCAGCTCCTGCTTGGAAACACAGATTTTTTTTCCTAGTTTTGGGCTAAAAGCATGACATAAATAAATGCCCACCCAGCCCTGGGGCTGGGATATGGATGAGGGCAAGTTTCCAAGGAAAGCAGATAGTTTCTGCGGAAGTTTTGGGGCAACTGGAAACAGAATTTTCCACCCCAAAAAGTTTAAGCAGGAAGGCTCTGCCCTGTCTTTGTTTATACCTCCCTGCCCCCCAGATCTGCACAAATAGTTCGCTCGGGGTTGCAAGTCAGCCCGGAGCCAAGGACAAGACCCAGGCAACTGGCTCGTGGTCAGGGAAAGAAGACGCTGCCATCCCTTTGGGGAGAGCCAGGCCCCATCTGGGTGTGGGGTTCTCCCTCTCCTCCGTGGCAGGGGCAAGAGAGGAGGTGGTTGGACCAGCTCAGACCCAGGGCCCATCTCTGCCAGTCTCCTGCCTCCCGGTGTCACCCCATTGCTCTGTCTTGTGCAGGGGAAGGTTTTGCCTTGGAGAAACCAGCTCCCCTTGACACTGGAGTGAGGGCAGGTAAGTGCAGCAGGGTCCTTGCAGGGCCTGACAGGGGGGTTCACAGCCCTTCGGGCAGAGGCATCCCAGCCCCGGCACAGGCTGCCAGGTGCGCCAGTGTTTTGCACCAATTTAGAAAGCTGGAGGTTTCCAAGCAGAGGCTGGAAAGGAGTCTGCCTGGGCTGGAGCAGGATCCGGCATCCGGCAGGGGGCTGAACTAGGTAGTCTGAGCTGCTGCATCCAGTCCTATGATTTCAAACGATCTGGTGCAAAACCGGTGCCTATACCGGCCCCAGCACCCTCCTTACAGCACAGCATTTAGCCCCTTGATCAGGGGGATTCCCATCTCAGGAACTACATCCTTTTAGCATCCTGCTGGATGATTCCTCAAGACACCCACGCTCTGTTCTCACCCAGCACCTGGGGTGTGCAGTCAGGACAGCCCAAGCTGCAGCTGGCTGGGAGCATCTCAGTCTCCTCCAGAGGTGCCTAGCGCCCTATGCCAGGCCATAGTAGACAAGCATTCAGCCCGTGCTCATTCGCTCCATGCAAGCTCTAGGCTACAAGCTTCCTGCAGAGTGTGCAATTGGCCAGCTTTGCTCCTCCCCAGCACCGCTCCAATATTAGTCTCTGCCCACGGATGAACAGAGAGCCGCCAGAGTGGTGAGAACATGGATGGTGAAGCGGCCCGTGGCCGTGCCTCTCTCCTGCTATTACTCATGATGCTGATCAGCCTCTGGCCAGGTGAGTGAGACTGTCTGCAGGGTGGAGCGGAGCCAGGCACGTGGCAGCAGAGGAGATGGGTGGGTGATGTGAACTGTAGGGAGGAACAAGGGCTGGAAGGGAGACCATGGACCCAGCAGGTGGGTTTCTCCCTAGTGCGCCCATCTAAATGCCCTTTGTAGCTGGGGAGCACCTGGATGCTGAATGAATACCAGGGGAAGAGTAAGGACAGGCGTGCGGAGGCTTAAGGATCCTCTATCTCAGCCAGTGGAGGTCTGTCGCTAGCTGTTTTCTAGAGCATTGTCTAATCAGGCCAGTAGATGCTGCGTCTGAGCGCGTGAATTCAAGGATTCATGACCGGGTCATGCAACACGCCTGATTTCTTCCTTCTGCTGGCAATGCCAGGGAAGGGAGCCTGTTCCACGCAAACTTGTCTTCTGACCTTTTCTGTGCCACGATCCAGGCACTCGGCTGGCGAGAAGCAGGGCAGCGTGGCCTGGCCTATTTGTACCAGCCAAGGGGCTGATGTGGATCCCCCACAAAAGAGCTTCCTTATCTTTCACTTGGAGAATCCATGGATGCACTGCTTCTCCCCCAACTCTAAGGGAAAACCACACCATAACAGGAAGATCAGATTACCAGGGAGCTCTGCATCCCTATAATGCAATCCTCTGGCCAGATTGAACGTTGCCCAGTAATTGAAGCATCCTCCTCCCAGTCTCAAGCTCTGCTGCTCTGCGATGTGAGGAGATATGACCGCAAAACCAGGCACCGCTCTAACGAGATCGTTTAGGACTTTGCAGCAAGTTATGAGTTGCCCTGTGGTGTTTCTGTGGAGTTCAGACCTGGGAAAGAAACTAAGTAACGCTGAACAAACCCAGGTGCCTCCCCTGCCGCTTCCTCCTTTTGTCACATTATTAGACCCGCACTAGACTAATTCACATCCAGACCCGAACGTGGGGATTTGGTCCCAAGCAGCTCAAATTTGTAACCGTTGTCTGGATAAAGCAAAAATAAGTCTCTCTCTGGAGCATCCGTAAGCTCAGGTTTAAGCCTCTTCAACTCTTGGACTTTTCCGTTGTAATCCAGGGCTTGTCTACAAACGCGCAGATCTTGTGGGCTGAGAGCAGGGATTTGCTGAGATTAATGTGTTCCAGGCAACTTCTGGGTAAACAAGATAAAATTCAGCTGCTCCAACGAGTTCAGGAAACATTGTGATTGTAACAAAGTGACCTGGCTTCGGCATTTTTTCCGACCTGTCATTTCCTTAGAATAACCCGAACAATAAAGCGGGGACCGCGCACGCCACTACCATATATGTAGTGAAAAAGCAGCTGGCAGCCTGAAACGGATGTCAAGATGTCAGGGGGACCCACGCGCCAAAAGGTCAGATGGCCGCTGGCAAATGGCTCGGAAAACCAAGTGGAAAAATGCCAGGTGTGAAGAGAGTAGAAGCACACGTCTTGCATCCTGTTAGCTGCTGGGACGTGCTTTCGTTTTAATTGCCAGCCCTAAAATGAGCTACAAAAGGGTCATTAGAGCAAAGCACGGCAACGGTGTTGGAAGGCAATCCAGGGATTGAGGTATTAGATTCATAGGTTTTGCGGGGGTTGGTTCTGGGTTTTGTATGCCTAGGACAGTTGAAGAGTGTGTGAGCTCCTGACTCCCCAGCCCAGCCCAGCCCCTGGCTTCTTTACTTTTCATTCCATCCAGGAAGAGCACACACCAACTGCTGAAACTTCCTTAGCCTGACGAAGGGTTTTTGAACCCGAAAGCTTGCTTAATAACTATTCTCCAACTATTTGGGTTGGTCTAATAAAAGATATCAGATTCACCCAAGGAACCTTGTCTACCTGAGCTCCTGAATTGCATGGACCCGACTCACCCAGCACTGAATTCAGCACTTTGTTCTGCTTTTGAGGCATTAGCTCAATTTCCCACTTGGCTCTACACTTCCAATGCCTCTAGGAATTGGGAGGAATAACACTCCCCTACTTTGCAGGAGTCTGCTAATATGGGCTGCTGCCTAGAGAAATAGGGTAGCACACCTTTAAATAGCAGGTGAGCCCTACAGAGGGGCTCACCATGTTCAGAGACCAGCCAGGACAGCAGCCCATGGGCTGCATCTTAGTGGTCTCAGTGGTCTGCGCTGTGCCTCGATCGTAATGTGTACAAGCATCCTCAGTGGTCAACTCATCTTGTCTCTCCTGTGTAACCAGCTCAAGATGCGGCTGGGTCCCAGCTGTATTTCTGGCTGGGTTGCACCCAGCTGTGAATCCAGATGCAAGTGGTGGGGGCATCCCCGGAGCCTGACATTTTGGGGAAGGTAAAAGCAGCTGGTTTGGGCCTGATATGCTGTCCTGAGGGCATGGACATCTCCTGTCTCCCTGCATGCGATGCAGCCCCACGTCCCACAGCCCTGGTCATGAGATGGGGGCAGAGTCATTAAGTTCTCTGGAACTGGGAGTTTTGTGCACGCATCAGCATTTTCAGGTCTCAGCTGCCTCCAACGGACCAGATTTTCAGATAAGGTCGGGTGCACGAAGCGCTGTATCTACTGGAAAATCCAGCCCCGGCACTGGGTGCTGAGGTTGAAAGCCAACTTTGAGATCTAAAAAAAAAAAACAAACCATTTGATTTGAATCAGTGCCTGGTACCATCAAACAGTCAGATGCTGCCTGAGTTCCCTTGTCATCCTTTTAGCTGCTCCCTTTCTCTCTCCCCAGCCTTGCCCTGTAGCAGATCGAACATGCGCGGTACAGGAAAGCATCCCACCAGCTCCAACCCACCCAGAAAGATTCCACCTCCTCCCCAGCCCCCCCAAAAAATAAAACCCCAAATGGCCGAACAAAAATAAAGGTGATTGCAAACATTACAGTGGGCTCTCCCCTCTTTGCTACAGCCTCTGTGTGTCCTATTTGGATTGTTACCCCTGTGGGGAAAAGGGTGGGTGTGTGTTTGGGGGGGGGTCCAATGTGTGGCATAAAGGGGCCTTGATCTGGTCCACTAGTAGACCACACAGTTTGCAGCAGCAGCAGTATGGGCAGCATCGCCAGGTAGTGCTTTTACACCGTCTTCTACGTTTGCTCTTTCAGCATGCGAGTGAGTGGTCAGTCTTGGGAAGACATGCTATGTGAGGGCAAAGCTTGGGGGAGGGAACAGGGGGTTCGCTCTCTACCAGGGACTTCATTCTGGGGGGCAGAGCTGTCCTGTCATGGCTCCGGCGCTGGGCAATCCTTCCTCTCTCTCAGCTCTGCAATTCAGAAGGGAACGAAATGGCAGGAGAGGCGGCCGGAAGCAGAGTTTTGCAAGAGGCAAAAAGAAAAGCCAAGAAAGGCAAAGAGGAATCGGCTCAGGCTGTGCACCAGGACCCACAGAGGCAGTGCAGGGAGGTCGCTTGTAACTTGGCCGGCTGAGGGTTTAGGCACAGCCAACGCTGCTGTGTTTAATCTTCTTGGATACTCAAGGCACATCTGCTTCTTCTGCTTTGCAGCAGGAGACGAAAGTAGGGAAATCGCGGCTCATGCTGCTGCCTTTGGCCTGGCTTATGTCGAGCATTGATGTCTGAGAGGTGGCGGCGGGACCCAGGGATCGCTCCGCCCATCACCGGGGTGGGGGAATGACTTCCAATCGACTTTGGGTTCTCTAGCCATGCAGTGCAGTGCTCTCTCTCTGCCCCCAGATGTGGCTCTGAGGTGACGTGACTGTATGCAAACCAGGATACATGTGTTTTTTAAGGCCAGGGAGACTGATTGCCCACGGTGACCCCCTAACAGGCCTCAAACTGTCCCCAGCGGTTCCTTGTCCCCAGCTCCAAGTTCCTAATGGAGCTGGATCCAGAGCTGGCCGATGAGTCTAAAAGTCTCCTGGAGTCCTCAACACTGAGAGGTGCCCCGAGGCCAGACCCCGGGGATGAGCATCAGGATCTGTCTAGAGGGGTCTGTGGAGATCTCTGTGGCTGCAATGGTAGGAGCATTGCCAGCAGATCAAGAGGAGTGATTCTTCCCCTCTGTTCAGCACTGGGGAGGCAACATCTGGAGCCCTGTGTCCAGTTTTGGGTCCCCCACTGCAGAAAGGATGTGAACACACTGGAGACCGTCCAGTGGAGGGCAATGAAAATGGTTCAGGGGCTGGGAAACATGACTGGTGAGGAGAGGCTGAGGGAACTGGGCTGATTTAGCCTGCAGAAGAGAAGACTGAGGAGGATTTGGCAGCAGCCTTCAACTCCCTGCAGGGGGGTTGCAAAGAGGATGGAACTGGGCTGTTGTCTATGGTGCTGGCTGGGGATGTGGCCTGCCGTTCTCAATAGGAGCCGTGTCTGGGTCTGGACTTCCCCACTGGCTGAAAGCTGCCCTTTGCTTCTCATGTAGTTCCCCCTCCCTGCTGCAAAGATTCATTCACCACTGCCCAGGGAAACCTGCAAAAACTAGCCCTGCCATCAGTCTGGCAAACGTACCACTTGATGGTGGGTCCCCCCCGGACCTAATCTCAGCACAGCATAGTGGGCGTTTAGATTGGCCAGTATTGGGAGCCAGAGATATTGGGAATCCTTGTTTCCATCTCTGGGTAAGATGGTTTTGTGGCCAGGCACAGCCATTTGCAAGGGGATTTAGCCCAGGATGGCCCAGGCAGCCAGGGACGGTCCTGCGATGGAAAGGAGGAACCGATACCGTTGTGGTCTCCGTGCACCAGTTGGCCAAGCAGGCAGTGAAGGAGGCTGTGTGGGGGCGCAGCCGTCTGCAGGGGTTCCCCCCATCCTCCTAGGGGCTGTTGCACTGCAGAGGTCCACGGAGATGTGTGGGAGGGGGGAAATGGGGCCGCTTTGAAACTGCTGTTTTGAACAGACCTGGGGTCTTCCCGGGGTCCCCAGAAGCTGTCTCTAAAACCAGCTGAGCCCACAAGTCCCGAGGGAATTTCTGGCGCTGGCCAGACCTTCTACTCAGCTGGGTGCCCTTAGCTTTGGTGGGACCACTATATCAGAGGCCCAGTCCTGGGTCAGGATGCTACTCTGGCACTGTATAAACTCAGGACAAAAGGTCTCTGTTCAAGGGCATTTTCTAGTGAAGCACTAAAGCCCAGATCCTCCAAAGCTGCCAAAGTCCCTGGAGCCCAAACACCCCTAAATACGTCCTTACTGGGTGAGATTCGCCCCTGCCCAGATACTGCAGGGAGTGGGGCGCTGCTTGAGCACCCCTAGCAGGTGGGGCTGGGGCTCAGTGCTTTGAGCAGCACCTTGCTTCCTTCTCGTGCTGCCTCGGTGGCCCCCAAAGCCTTAGGATGACTGGAAGAGACAAAGCCCAGATAGGGGTGTTCCCCACGAGTCTTTGCTCTGCTGATGTTGCTTATGTTGCTGCAATCCCATGTTGCTAATGCTCCTTGTGCCTCTCTCCACAGACCCCCCAACCGGCCACGCTCAGGCCCCACCACGCCTCACACAGCTCACAGCCCGCCGGGTGAACAGGGTGCTGGGCAGCTCGGCCTGGTTGTCCGTGTCCTTGCCTCCGGGGGCACAGGTGAAGGCAACAGAATGGAGCTTCGCCGCAGGGCCAAGCAGCGCCATCGTGGTGGCGGAGTTCAACGACAGGGGGTTGGAGCGGCCAGATCCCAGTGACCGGTTCCAGCAGCGGCTGGAGGTGCCCAATGCCACAGCGCTGGGCATCCGGGCACTGCAGCGGGATGACAGTGGCAAGTACAGTGCCCGCGTGAAACTGCACCCGGCGGTCGTGGAGGATTACGACTTCCACCTCGCCGTCTATGGTAAGAGCCTGGAAGTCTGTCGGGGCTCTGAAACACAAGCAACTCCAGCGTCAGCTCTAGGCCTTGCCACTGCTCATCGTTGGCAGATCCAGAGGGGGAGTCTAGTGAGGGATGAGGGGACTTGCCTGAGGCAACCCAGAGGCAGTGGCAGAGCCCAGGTCCCCACTGATGCTCTAACCGCGTGGCCTAGGGATTCTCACCTAGACCCACTTGGCACCTTCCACCCCCTAAAGTTCACATGTGTGTGTCTAGCATGACCCGCTTTCCACTTGCATTAAATCTCTCCAGCTCTGGTGCCTCTCTGAGCCCCAGAGATGGAGACAAGGAACAATGCAAGTGTCATGGTGGGCACTGATGAGAGACCGCTCCTTCCCCTGGCCCTGGCCTGAGTGAGCCCCAAGGAACAGGAGCATCAGAGATGGTGAAGGTTCAGGCATCTCCTCAGGGCCTGATGGATTTTGGGTGCTGGAGGCTGAGGCATGTGCCAGGGTCAGGTGGGGGACACTTGCCAGGGTGGCTTGGTCTCTGCAGTGTCAGATCCAACCACCTGTCTTCTGCATGCAGAGCCAGTGCCAGCGCCCCGGGCCCACTGCCAGCTTCTGGGCAGCACCCCAGAGTGGTGCAACGTCACACTGCATTGCCAAGCGCCCAGCCAGGCCGCTGTGAATGTGACCTGGGGGACGGGCAACCCACCACGCCCACTGCGATTTGAGCCGCACCAGCTCTCCGTTGATGGCCGGAGCCTGCGCCTGGCCCTGCCGCCCAGTGCCTGGAACGCCACCTACACCTGCAGCATCAGCAACCCCGCCGACCAGAAAAGCGCCTCCTTCGACCTGCATGCCACCTGCCTCCGGGAAGGTGAGGGGCTCAGGGCCTGGCCTTGCATGGCTGCTTCAGGGACTGGGATTGTGGGACCACTGCTGGAGGACCCTGGACAAGCATCTTCCCCTTCTCAGAGACTCGTGTCCCCACTGTCATGACATGGGGGTGCACTTGCAGCCACCGAGTGCTTTGGGGACAGGAAGGGAAAAGCACAAGGCTGGAGGCACTGCCTTTATGCCACCCCATGTTCTCCATGCAGTGGGGAATGGGACCAGCTAGCATGAGTGGGCTGTGGGGCATGCAGCCAGCACAGTGATGGGCTGTGGTGGCCCAGCCTGGCTTCCCTGTCCCCACCAAACCCCCACAGCCAGTGCCAAGCACCCTCCCAGCTCCCCCTCGGCCCTGACCCGTGGCCTCTGCCATTCCAGACCGAGACACGTCCTCCTCCAAGCCAGGCTACGTGGTCCTGACTATCATCCTGCTGGCACTGAGCATTGGTGGTGCCGTCTGGTGTTGGCGCTTCAACAAGAAGAAGTCGGCCCAAGCCAGTAAGTCCTGGGGATGCCAGGTGCTATGCCATGCCTCAGGGAGCTGGGGCTTTGGGAGGGAGGTGCTGCACTGCAATGGGTCTGTTTGCAGCTGGGGAAGGTGTGAGACCACCCAATGCCCCTTTGGAGAAGCATCCACTGAAACCCTTTGCATCTGGTCTGGCTGGCACCTGCACTGCAAGGGGTTCTGCGCAGCCAGGGGATTTGGGGCACAAGGAGGGTGCAGCTGCCCAGATCAAGGTGCTGGGGGGGGGAGAGCTGGGGGGTCTCACCCACCTCTCAGCTTCATGATCTCATTGCAGCTGTGACCCCCCCAGTCCCAGCTGAGCCCAGCTCCTCAGACCCCCAGTACGCGGAAATCCTGCGGAGGAGCCCTCCAGAGGGCAACGACCAGGTGAGCTCTGCCAGGAGCGGGCAAAAGGTGAAGGCTTTGTGGGCAGCCACAGGGACACGAGTTCAAATCCTGCCAGCACATTTGCCCAGCACTGCTTGGGAGGCAGCCCCATGCTCCCCTCCACTGCGCTCAGCAGATGTGGAGCTTGCCAGTGCCCTTCGCTGAAACTGGGGCAAGAAGCAGCTCTCTGCTGCCACCATGGCATGGCTTTATCTGCTCTGGGGAGTTGATGACTTGGGGTGCACTGCAGAGTGTAGACAGCCTGCGCCCTCTGGTCATGCAGCCGGTGCCAGCGGTGCACAAGTGGGCACGTGTGCATCTTGTCCTGGGAGCTGCTCACTGCTACGTCTCTCCACTTCAGGTGCAGGGCTGTGGTGGCCTCTGCCTTGCTCCCATCACTGTGATGTGTGTGTGGGCGGGGGTGTATGGTGTGTACTTGTGAGTGTGTCCTTTCTAGGAGCTGCTGCTCTCTGCTGCATACATCTTGTTCCTGCCCTTTGGTGGGGTTGATGCTCCCCTCCCTGGTGTGTTGCCCCGCACTGGGGCAGAGAGGACATACCATGCCAGGGGAAGCCCATGGTTCAGCCCCACTGGCAGCCTGGGGAGCGGGCAGGCCAGCCTGCAGTCAGCTGGCAGAGCAATGCCAATGGCCTCCTCTCCACTTCAACCTCAGGCCCTGCGGCACCTGGACGGCACCGCGGAGCGGCGCTCACAGAAGGAGGCACTCATCACCACCGTGTATGACCGGATCCACCTGACCCCAGCAAACGCAGCCGAGGTCACCTAAACCGAGCAACGTAAGGGCACGCGCCCCTGCTTTCTAAGAGATCAAGGGAGAAGGGAGGTCCCCAGGGGCTGGGAAGGCCGGGAGAGGATGCTCTTCTGAGCCTGTTATCATGGGCCCCTCACTGCATGGGGACCCCAGGACCAAGCCTCCGGGGGATGGAGGGGGTCAGGCCTTGTCTACACTTGGCTGAGCTGGTTTCACTTGAAATTGGATCAGGAATGAGTCGGTTACACTGGCACAAGCCGTTCCATTTACACCCAATGGAGCTGAACCTGATCCGGATTTCTCCCAGGGATGGGGAGAAGCATGTGAACAGGGGCTGCAACCAGAACAGGGCTCAGCCATCCCCAGTGTCCACTTAGGAAATGGCCTGAGCAACAGACGGGATCTCTGGACTCGCCTGTGCTGGAGCATGTTTGTTCAAGGGGTTTGGGAGCATGTGAGCATGTCTTGGGGCAGGGCCTGGCCCAAGGGACCCTACACCCCTATGAGTGACCTCAGGGACCTTTCTCCTTCCCCCAGGACCCAGCTGAGTGGGAGCTGCGGGGTCGTTGCCACTCAGCACCCTGGCTCCAGCTCGCCCGGTGCTCTCCTGCCCCATGGCTCTCCCACCACCTTGTGTTTTGCAACCTTCCCTGTGCCCCCGGAGCCTGCTGGGGAAAAAGGGACTGGAGCTAAAGCAATGGAGCTGGCTGCAGTGGGAGCAGAGGCTGCAGTTCCCGGGGTGCAAGCCACCGAGAAAAAAGGCCAGAAGGGAGAGGGGCCAGGCTGCACCGGGGGGCACGGCCCATCCAGAAGGGATGTCAGCAAAGCAGAGAGCCACGGTCCCCCTCCCCGCGGGGCTGCCAAGTGG